ACCTTCTTAACCTCTACTCCACCCACTTCTAATCCTTCACAAGGAGATCGGATGGTAGCTACTCCGACACAAAGACCGAAGACTCCGTTCTTAGTTATGTGTGCTTCACACTCAAGTTTTGGGACCATACTGCAAAGGGACAATGTTTTGTGTCTTTGCTGTCCTTGATATTTAGGCATCATAATTTGGAAGGCACTGAAACCTGAAGGCAATTGTTATAGTAAAATACCACTTATGTGTTATCAGTAGGTGCATGATAGTTTTGTGTTTAGACCAGGAAAATCATCTTACTTTTTGCATTTGTGTTCTCACTGTAGGGTAATCATGCTGTGTTATCACACTATCCTAGGTTTGCCCAAAGGACACGCCAAAACCACGCCTCAAGTCACACATATGATAATGTAAGTAACAAGACCCTTTTGTGGCACCACACTAGTCAGCAGAGTATTGTGGCCAAAAAGAACTCTTGGTCATTAACTTCCCTATTCTGTTCAGCATTTCTTTACACTGTTAATGTTGTCAGGATTTTTAATCCCTTTTTAATTTTTCTAAGATAGGCAAGTTGTCACGCTCCTGTTAGAGAAATGGTTAAAGATGTAATTCCTGGCAGAGATGTAGCTCAGGGGACATGCTTGCCTAGCATGCAAAGACCTGGGTTTAAATCCCAGCACTGAAGAAAAAAAAATACTGTAATTCTCAGTCTTTATCTTGCCTATTTATTAGTAGCATGTGACGATGTAGATCACTTCCTTCATTTTGCAATGTGGCTTTCAGACAACACTCACTTTTAATTCTTCTGTTGCATCACTTCCATTTCTTCTCTGTCTTTTGCTGGCACTTCTTCCTGTCTTGGCCTTTTCATATTGGAAACATCAGGCTTAGGCTAATGATTTTTCTGTTGACATTAATTCCTCCAAGGTCTTTTACTTGAAATAACCACTCAAGTTTTGACAACCTACAAGTTCATTTCTCCAGCCCAGAGTTTTCCCTAAATGTAGAATTCATGTATCTACTTTCCACTTAACAACACCTCTTTATTTCTTCTCAGTCCCTGCTCTTTTTACACACTTGCCATCTCAGTAAATGACTACTCCACTCCTAGTTGTAAAGGGAGAAAACCTTGAAGAAATAGTGCTTGACCTCTACCTTTTTACCTTTTATCTTCAAAAATATGTCCATTATCCAGCCACTTCTCACTACCTCCACTTCTATTCCTCAGTCGAAGCCTCCTTCAGGATGCTGCAGTGGCTACTTAAGGATTGACATTTGCCTCCCTGCACTTCCTCCCACCCTCACCCCACCTCACACCTCACAATCTAGACCTAAAACAAAAAACAGAGCACTCTTTTTTTTTTAAAAAAGTTAAGTCATATCACTATCTGTTCAAAGCTCACTTAGGATTTTTCTTCCTCTCTCCATTTTGCCCAGTAAGTCTGTGATGCTGATATGACCCTCCAGCTTACCTCTTGCCTCCTTCAGAGTCCGTGAGCTCATGTCCTTTTTGATAATCATTCCAGTCAGGGTTTTGCTTGAATGTCCCCAGGGTCGGAAATCCACTGATCATGGCCTGAATCCCACCATAGCCTCCTCTTCCCATTACCCTGTTTTTTACTATAGCATATGTCATCTGACATGGATTTACATTTGGTTATTATCTGCTGCATGAGGTTGGGGACTTGGCCTTTTTTCTTTTTTTATTAATAGTGCATGGCAGCTAATAAGTATCCAGGACACATTTGTGGAATGAATGAGAAAATTA